AATAAACAAATTCCTCGTTAATTGGCATCTCTCTTCCAATAGACATGGATTGTATCTTCTAATTTGGATTATCTTGCTACTTACCAGCAGTAGATGGATTGTCCTTGTCTGACTACTTCAATTTACATGTATGAAATCTTAGAAATTTTTTCTCTGCTGAATTAATTCCCCTAGTGGTGGAACAAATTAAGACTGACAAAGTGGAAAAGCTTGATTTAAATTCCCAAAAGATGATGGCATCTAGAGGTATGACCCCAAAAGATGATGGATCTAGAGGCATGATAAACCAAGTATTAGATTTCACCTTCCCATATAAGTTGATCAGCATTGTATAAGTGTCTGTAGATGGTTGGCAGTGATCTCTCTCCATCCTTTGAAAGATCTCAAGAGCTTTTGGTGCATTTCTTAGTTTCATCAAACCATCAATATAAGCATTATATACTACTGTACCTGCAGATTGTTAAAGAAGGTAGCATTCTGATGAGTCTCTTTCAAGTGCCAGTACCAGAAGAAAGTTTAGAGGAAAGGACAACCATACTCAATTGTTAAGAAGTCAGTTAACACCATCTAAGAAATGTCTAGGCAAGTATATTTCACTGGAATCATGAGATGATTTTGTGGATAAATACAGGCGTGCAAAATCATCAGTTAGACAACTCCTGTTCTCCAATAATAAATTATTGATGCTTCCACTTCTCATATCCAAGAGGTTGAGTATGCATGAAGAAACAAGCTAATAAGAAACAGGAAAAGCTCTCTAAACACTATAAGATCACTTCAGTATCGGCTATAACCCATTTAGGGCAAAAAACAGCTATTTAAAGGATCATGGAGTTCTGGAAAAGATTGAGCTTGATCCCCAGCCTTTCGATGATCTTCTATTATTACTACCTTGTACCTAAGAAACCAACCATTTATCATCATAATCCAGTCCCATGCTGGACCAATGGATCCCTTCCAAACTTATTTTTTTTGTTGAATAGTTGTCCAGTATATGGTAGCTAGATCAAGTAGAGGAGAATGAACGGATGCAGAACTAAAGATTGACACCACAGAAGCAAAAGTTTGTATTGAAATGAGGGGATCTGAGACAGGAAATGGGATTTGAATAATAAGCTTGCAAGGCCTGACAAAGTTTAAAGCTTTGTAGACAATGTTAACTCACTTGGGGGAAGGCCATGTTGTCGCATCTCAGTGAAGATGGCTTCAGCCTTTTCTAGCTGGCCAGATGTGCAGTAAGCTTTTGTAAGAAGAGCATAAGTATCTTCTGTAGGAATGCAGTGAGCTTCAAGGAGTTCTACATATATGGATTCTGCCTTCTTAATAAGTGATTTCTGCCCATAAGCATCTATAAGCAAATTGTAGCAAATGATATCCGGCTGGAAAGAGCTCCTGTACAATATCCATTCGCACACCTGGGATGGTGAACAAAAAGATCAGTTAGTATAACCATGTCAGGAAAGCAATTAAATTATTGAAATCAATTAACAATATGGGCATCGCTAAAATGAACTTATTCACTTCTAATGCAAATTAACTTGTATGGCCGTCAATGGCAGGAAATTATTTCATTTCAAGCAATCTCATGTGTTCTAAACATTTAAAAGTTTCTACATTTTCCATTTTTTAGCTTTCTGAGAAGTCCAACCGAATAAGTTATTCATGTTTGACAAACCTTGATAACTAACCTATCATCCATTTATAGACAGTTAAAGTTTGTGTAAATGTGAATGCATTGAGATTGTCCTCTACCAGTTCGTTCTTTTCCTGTGTGTCAGAAATCATCAGCAGCTCTGGATAATGAATATTTCTAGTACACGTCTTTACCAAATTCCTAATAAGTATTGTCCATTGCATAAAATTCCTGGCATATTTGCTGTCATTGTAAGAGGCATTTTGACAAATTCATGCCTATTAAAGTTGCACTCCATAACATAACTTGTTGGTGTCTTGAATTGATTGGAGAACTTTCAATCATGCGGGCATGTACACAGGTGAAAACAAGTTTATATTTGTACAAAAAGAGTTAGCACCAAAAGGAAATTAGGACCTTTCTGTATTAGTAGCTCAAAGAATATCAGAATTCAATTGCAGAACAAGTTTTGACAGCACTTTTAATGCAGCAACAAGACTAAAGATGCCTTAACGCACCAAGTCAATGTTCACAATTAAACAGGATATGTTACAGAAGATTGACAAAACAGATTTAGCCCACACTCAAAATTCATACTATGATGGTTTTAAACATGTTCGGGTCATTTGACAACTCAAGTGTGTCACATGAGGTCCACTGCAGCCATGGTGAAGTCTCAGCTGATATCCTAGTGGTCCTTTATGACTGTTTATGTTTTGCTTTGGATCAACACAGCATCAAATTCCCAGTTTGCTATCCGAAATTTCGTTTCCCTCAGTTCACATCTGTAATTCTGCTTTAAGTTCCTTATGCAGAAGTGTTAAAGGGGGTATCTTCTAGAACATGCCCATCTATAGATAAATGGTAAAGGAGGAAAAAGATGAAAAGAATTATCTGCACTTCAATGTCAAATATGCAGGGATCATCACCTAAATAAAACTCAAAGGCTTTTTTCTTGTATTGGCTAATGCATGTGCAAAAGTAAATCTCTATCCTTGTTTTGCAATTTTTTCACCACAAAAGGAAGTTGAATAACTGACATACCATCAACTACACACCAAAAAGTAACTAGAAAAAGAAGAGAAGTATGAAGGTGCAACCTGTATAATTGGATCCCATTGTTTATTAAGCCAAAGTTGAACAGCTACATTGATTAGGTCATCCCATGTATTATTAGAATGAGGAAGAGTGTCTAAAGAAGTCCAAACTCTATGTACATCCACTTCCTTTCGTACATAATTTAAAACCTTCTGAGCAATGGGACTCAACACTGGAAATATCCCATCAACAAAACCAGACCCATATTGCCATCCTTTGCCCCTTAGAGAGCCCCCTGTCCAGAGGTGATGATCCCAGCATTAGTCCAGAAGAATTCATGATATATGTGTAAAGAACAAATATGGATTTTTCTTTACCTTTTTGTCTAGAAACCCTTTTGCGATTAAAACTTCTCAATTTGCCGCGCTTGTCAATGAAAAGGCTGTCCGGCTTCAACTTCTCAACAGGTTCCTCGGTGGTAGTAGTAGCTGTACATGTAACTCCAGTTTTGCAACATCTTGGTTCACTAGATATATAATTCACTGGCCACTTGATGGACAGCCTACAAAATGTAGGATAAAAACAGTTATTCCCACTTTCTTAAGGTATTACCTACTTCAGTCGCCTCAGTCCTCAAGCTGTATGATACAGAACAAAGAATCAATCAAGATAAGATTATCACCACAAATTTAACGCATATTTCATATTACATCAAAATGAAAAGATCAGGGGAATTAGGAACTCTCCCAATTGGGTATGGCTCTGTCGTTCCCAAGCAGTTTTGTCGGACGCAAGGCAAATTCGTTCCCCCATGTATCAAAGCAAGATAAATGCACTGCTTTAATACTGCAGATCCTCCACAACTACTAATATTTGCCCCTAATTCATTCTTTCAAACACTTTAGGTAAAATGTAACCAATCTTCCCACCAAAAATCAGGTTCATATGCAGTCAAATCTTTAACATACAAGGTCTTTGACATCTGTTACTTCCCATAACTGTCATCCATTTTCAGATACCTGAAGCAACCTTTAGCTTGGAAGAAAGAATCCAATAGCCAGTTTTAGCATCAAGCGCTCTGCCAAAGTTTCAAGTGCTTAATGACACCTATATATCTTGCAAACTCCAAAACCAAATTAAGGGGGCCTATTTTCTGTTTCAGTGCGACACAATCAAGTAAATTAATTCACTAGCAAAAGCACATTTCGGAAGGCAATGCAGAATAATATTGTAAATCAGTTCAAAGAAGGAGAATTCTGGAATCGTTTAACTAGTAACACAAGTAAGACAATGGTAGAGTGCACAGAAAATGGATGGGAAATCAAAATTCAAGAATCAAGAATGCAAGACAACTTGAATGAAATAAGAAAAGAGTAGACTGTTGAAGATGATGAGGCTTACATGGATTGCAGTGGAGCTAAATCCAATGAATTTGAAGCGGGCTTTTAGCCGAAATTGAAGTTGGCATTTGGATAAAAGAAAGTGCATCTCTGAAATATCTAGTGCACATGCAGACGTTCTTTCCCCATCATGGCAGCATTGGATTTTAGCAAGAGAGATATTTAACACAATTCGGAGTGTTGGGTCTGTTGATATTTATTACTTTCTTCCCCACAAAAAAAAAGAACTTTCTTTACTTATTATTTCAACGAGATAATTTATGATTCCCATCTTATCCAATCTTCCCTTTCATCTGATGTATCTATCCCCTCATTATAAAAATCAAAGTTGATTTATGCAGCGCACTAATGCTAACATTAGCACTAAAAACAATAATAAAACAAAACACTATGACTGGGCAAATCAAAGTTGCTACATTTGTTTTTTGGGCCAAAGTTGCCACAATTTGGTGGGCAGCAGTGTCTCAATCTGGTTTTTTCCTTCAAATGCCATTCTTTCTAGTATCCATCAAAGTTTAGTATCATTCTACCAAGTACCTAAATTTTTAAAAAAGAAAATGAATTAAACCAACGAGATATTGCACGGTGAAAATACGTTATGTGATATTATCTCATGATACTTTGTTATGAATTCCATCAAATAAGGAAGGAATTTAGCATTTTGTGGAAAGTAGATATTTCTTGTTTGGTGGATGCTAGATATAAGCCATTCGACAAATCTCTCCGACGTAATTGACAGAATTGCGAGTAGAATTGAGACACCACATGAATAGTTTCTCTTAACATATCTTAACTATAGTATTAAATTTTGTTGGGGCGAAAACTCACAAAATTAGAAGATGGGAGACAAAATCGAAACATCCACAAAAGAAAGGGCGAAAGAGAGCAATTATCTTTTCCATTCCCTCTTCCTTATCAGGCATTTTCTTCGCTTTTGTTCTGTTCTCACCGGAAAAGAGCCCAACAACCCAGCAGGGTGTTCCGAGTAGCCGCCGCCAATGGAGATCGGAAAATCAAGCCTCCGTCTACACAGTCGCCTTTCTCTTCCCAATCTCCGCTTCATCGCTTTCTCATCTTCATTTTCGACTTCAACTCCAGCAGTAGACTTCCTAAACGACGCCGTCGAAGACGACAACGATTCCTCCACCACCACCTCTTCCTCCTCCAAACCCACCACCGTTACTTCATCCTTATCACCAGCAGAATCCCTTGTTGCGGAAAAGCTCCACTCTTTAATCAAAAACCACCATCGCAAAAACCCTACCTTAAACCCTAATCCCAATTCCCCGAACCCCATAAACCCTGATCTCACTCTCCCAACTCTCTCCTTCGATCTATCCAAAATCTCCCCCATCCACTCACTCTCTCCGGCCGTCATTGTTCACGTAATCGAGAAATGTGGATCCGTTCGTCACGGCATACCCTTTTCTCAGACCTTGGCGTTCTTCAACTGGGCCATTTCCCGTTCCGAAACCCTCATTTCCCATGAGCCTTATAACGAGATGATTGACCTGGCGGGAAAGGTACGCCAATTTGACGTCGCTTGGCATTTGATTAATTTGATGCGGAGTAAAAATGTTGAAATCCCAATTGAAACTTTTTCGATTTTGATTCGCCGGTATGTTCGTGCTGGCTTGGCTAATGAGGCTGTGCATGCCTTTAATCGGATGGAGGATTATGATTGTAAGCCCGATAGGAATGCGTTTTCGAAGGTGATTAGTGTTCTCTGTAAGAAGAGAAGGGCTGTTGAAGCTCAGTCATTTTTTGATAGTTTGAAAGATAGGTTTGAGGCTGATGTGGTAGTGTATACTAGCTTAGTGCACGGGTGGTGCAGGGCTGGCAACATGTCTGAGGCTGAGAGGGTTTTTGGTGAAATGAAGGCAGCTGGGATTCAACCCAATGTGTATACTTATAGTATTGTTATCGATGGTTTATGTAGGTGTGGGCAAATTACGCGTGCCCATGATGTTTTTGCTGAGATGATTGATGTTGGATGTGAGCCAAATGCGATCACTTTTAACAATCTTATGCGAGTACATGTGAAAGCCGGGAGGACTGAGAAGGTGTTGCAAGTTTATAATCAGATGAAGAGGCTATCTTGTGTGCCGGATGTGATAACTTACAATTTTTTGATAGAGACTCATTGTAGGGATGGGAATCGCGAGGATGCGATTAAAGTGTTAAATTCGATGGTTTATAAAGGGTGTGAACCTAATGTTCATAGTTTTAACCCGATTTTTAGGTGCATTGCCAAGTCGGGGGATGTCAATGCTGCTCAGCGGTTGTTTGCAAGGATGAAGGAGTTAAAGTGTCAAACTAATACTGTGACATATAACATTCTGATGCAGATGTTTGCTGATTCAAAATCTACAGACATGGTTATCAAGCTTAAGAAGGAAATGGATGAGAGTGAAGTTGAGCCTAACGTGAACACTTACAAAATTTTGATTTCAATGTACTGCAAAATGGGACATTGGAATAATGCATACAAGTATTTTAGAGAGATGATAGAGCAGAAGTATCTAAAACCAAGTCAGCAAGTTTACCAAATGGTCTTGGAACAGCTTAGGAAGTCTGGCCAGATGAAGAAGCATGAGGAGCTGGTGGAGAAGATGGTTTATAGGGGATTTGCTTCTCGTCCCTTGTAAAGGATAGTTAAAGTGGCTCAACCAGTTGAATTTGGGTAATCCTTCTTTGCCTTTGCCATTGATGTTCTGATATTGTCAAAACATCCTGAAATTCTGTTTTCATAGTTGTTATTGTACCTATCTTTGTAGCTTTGAGATCTATCAGGTTGTTCCTTCTGCTGTCCGCAAACTCAGATTCCTGTTATATGTGTTTCCACAATCTGTGGTTCTTAAGACCTATAGAATAATGGAAATTTATTTGCACTATGAAATAAGAGAACCTGACAGGAAGTGTCCCGGAAATCCCCAATTTCATTCTTTTGATTTGAGTTGGCCAACTTAAATAATTTCCTTAAAGTTTGCTGCACAAATTTATTTGGTGGACACTGCATGACTAATTGGAGTGCAGAGCTAAATACAATAAAGCTCCTTCAAAGCCAATAAAGCTGACGGTTTTGTGGAAAACATATTATGGTGATGTCTGGAATCAGGGTGTACTTGAAAATAAAAGAGAATGCTTTTTTCACTACAATGCTGAAAGAAATCGATAATCAACCGAGCATCCGGGGATATTGCGCCCCAAACCACATAAAGAACTAATATGGGGGCTTTACACTGAAGTGCACATTTTCTTTAGTGGCTCTTAATGAAAATAAAGTCATATTTTATTTGGGGTTCTTAGTTATTATTCTCGTGAGCTCGATGGGGTCTTCTTATGGAAATTTGAGTGCCATTGATAGTTTATCCTTCTGCAGATTCACTTGTAAAGAAGCAAATTCCTTTGAAACATGTTGCAGCCTCCTCCTCTGGTCAGAAATGAATTGGCAATGATGGGCGTGGAAATTTTGCACATTCAGTTGATCATGATCTTTTGGTGCTGCTTTACTATGTCTTTCAGATCTGCTTATGCTCGTTTGGATGAGTATGTGCTTGAATTCCAGTTCCTTAATGTTTGGTTTTGGTGTTGCTCTATGCTAGTGGTATCTTTTACTTTTATAGGAATGAGGGATGAGATGCTTGTTTCAGTCATCCAAATCATATACAGAATTTAATTTCCTGGTATTCTTTGTAGTGATGGATGACAACTAGTGAGCGCCGGAATGGTGATTTTGAACCTTCTTATGAGGCATCTTGGTTTGGAGCTCACGTCATCTGGTGGCAGTCCAACATATGAGACATCCTTTCTGCACCTCTAGCAGCTGCTAATGGGGTGCTCCATTGTTGGAAAACCGAGATAACGATGAAATGTGTAGATAATTGCACTATTTGGCTTCAAATGAAGCTTGGCAATTGGGGGTTTCTTCTTTATGTGTACGTCGCTTTGCATTGGAAGTTCTAATGCAGCCAGCTTTCCTTGGTCTGTTTCTTTGTAGGGTAGAGAAGGGTTATGTTTGCAGTAGGTGACAAGGATTGTGAGAAAGTGCAGAACTGTTTTAGCTATTGCACTTCAGGCTGTATCATTTGTGGAACTAGCATTACATTTTGTCTCCATGAAATCAGGCTTACCTGTTTGCAGTGTGCTGCTAGCAGTCCTTCCTGGAACATGAGCACAATTAATCAGCTGATTTAGCAATCTTTAGTTAAAACATTAAACTGAATTAGCATACATTCTATTCCTTTTGCACGAACGTTCACATCCAAACTCTCACTTATTTGAAGCTCCTCTGAATCATAGAAGCTCGTAGTTTAGTTCGTACATGCATATGATTCCAGAGCCTTATGACTTGTGCTGTCTGAATTCTGAACGTTTTCAACGTTCAATCTTTGCAGGCGCATTGAATATAATTAAGACTTGGTTGTCTGTAACTTGGCTGCAACAACATAGCCCAAGCAACAAGGAAGGAAGGCTATTATTGGACCGTTAAGGAATGGTTTATGTTTTTATCATTGAACAACAATAATCTAAACCTCATTTAAACTTGACCAAAAGTTTCATCTTATTTATAAATTTTGAATCTTCCTATTCCCACTGTCAATTTTCCCCTATGTTTTATTGTATAGAATTAGGAGTGGTTGCCAAAGTGGTCCGGGAAGGATTCTTTTTTTTTTTTGTTTTTGGCTTTCTTTTCTTGTCTTTTGTATTCGAGGTAAGACAGGCAAGTTTCGCGAATGTAATAAATGTGATTATTTCCAGCCGCCGATCCATGACACGGTTTGACTGTTATTTTTTTTTATTATTGTTTTTATAATTATCTACTTAATTGCCGTATTTTCCCTACTTAACCCCGCCCTTGACTATTGACTACGGCGCAAGAATTCCCGTCTGGCAAGTGAGTTTTTTGGATGTTTGTCTAAAATTTTGTTGTAGTTTACTGTAGAAGTTTTTAAAAAAATTTTTGAAGGATTTTTTTTTTTTGAATATTTTGAAGTGTATAGTTTAAAAATTTTGAAAAGTTTTTTAAGGTTACTGTAATTATAAGGCTTCTAAAAAACTTGTAGCAGACAAACTTGGCAAAAAACTCAGGTGCCAAACATGTTAGAATTAATGTTTATAATGACAAAAATCCAATGTTTATATTATTGAATTGACGAAAAAAGAATAGGCGGTATAATTTACCAAGTCTAGTGGTCGGATTTTTTTTTTTTTTTTTTCTATTTTCTCCGGTGTTCATTATTAGCACGGCTTTAAGAAGACCACCAAATTAAAGGATGCTCCACGTGGAAAATTTCAATTGCAGAAAGTCTTCATGAAAGCTATTTCCAATTAGAATGTGAAGTTGCATGTGTCAGAAAACTTAAATCACACTCCTCCCTTGCTACATATTTCAAAATTATTGCTAAAACCATTCGAGCAACTTTGGTAATAATTTTGAGCATAGTTTTTGAATACATTTGTGTTAGCACAGTTTCAAAGTGGAATTAAATTAGGAAAATATGCATGACTAAGGAGATGATAAATGGGAGTATTTTATTTTAAATGTGAGTATATATAATAGTTAGGCTGTAAATTTTATGAATTTAAGTTGTAGTTAATCAATTAGTACTCACAAGTTTTTGCAAATGTGCATGTGTATATTTAGATTGTAAGTTTAATGATATGTTTTCCACCAGTTAAAAACAAAAAACTTTTTCTCCAATTATTTTGATTGAACTTATTTTCATAGATACTTCGCAATCGCATTTACAATAATAAAACTAAGGGGCGCGTTTGATGAAATTGGAGTCTACAAACTCAAGTAATCTGAAGTTTGAATCCGTTCAGTGATTGAATTTTTAAGTACTAAATCTGATACATTTGTCACTTTATTTTTTGAAGCAAGTCATGCTTAGAAAATTTAATACCAATTAATTAATTCAGATATTTTTTATTTTATTTTTGTTATCAAACGTGTCTAAATAAGTTAAGATCTGAACCTATTAAATTTAGGCGTCGAATCGAATTATCAAACAGGGCCTAACATAATCCTCAAAACGATCAACGGCAAACATTTTGCTCTACGTCAAAGAGCTCATGTCCGCTAATCTATTCCAATAGGCTTTGTTTTGTTTTTCTATGTAAATTTTACCATTTCAGACCAAAATGAAAAGGTGGATTTTACCGTTCTAAAAGAAGAAAAAGGTTTTTTAAATGATAAAAATTTTGAACCGATATTGACACTTTCATAGTGTTAATGCTGCTTCCCCCAATATTTTTGATGATGTTCAAAATAATTTATTAATTCTCTAAATTTCATTGTGATTATCAAGCAGTAGTTGAAATCAAAATTTAGGGGTAATTTTCTTGCACTTTTCTTCACTTTCTTCCATTTTATGTCATACAAAATATGCGGAATTTTCAAGGAAAATAAGTTAATTAAACACAAAATTTTTAATAACTATCTCTAACTTCCCACTTTCCCTCAAAATTTTTCTTGATAACTAAACATAAGCCGGAAAATGATTTTCATTTTCTTTTACCTCACTTTCTTGCACTTTACTTTCCCATATAATTTTTTTCTCTCTATTCGAAAAGAGCGTAGAGCATTTTTATTTACTTGTTCACATCTGAAAATTGAATTTTCCTCTCAGTAATATTATTTAATTAAGGGGTTCTTTTTTTCTAGCTGACTAAATAAAACACCAATAAAATGGATAAGGACAACATACAAGTTTTTGCACAATATTTGTACTTAATTTGAAAGTTGTAATATTGTATACATTAGTTGGTTAAAGGTTGGAGGAAGTTATTGTGTTGAATATCATTTTTTTAAAAAAAAATAAAAAGGGAGAACTGCTTAATAATATATATAGAGTGATAGGGAATATATTCTAAAGTTTAACACACAGGCGGCATAGATTCTGCCCTCAATCTTCTACTTAAAAGATTTTAAAGTCTCGCAGAATTGTATTTGTGCAATCTTTTTAACCATAACAATTCCCACTTTGAATAAAAATTCAAAACTCTATATGGTTTGGGTCTTATGAGAGGATACACAAAAGATAACAAAATTGGTACCCATAACGGGAGGAGGAAGCGTAAGGGTGCACTTAATAAAACTGAAATTTGAAATCTAAATCTATAATTATTGAATTGTTGAATATATTTGACAGTACATCACACTAAGTAATAGCTGTGTGTCAGATTCGAGACTTTTCGCTTGAAAAAAAAAACATGCAAAGAAAGGAAAAAATTTATTATAGAGTGTAAGTGATAGATGTGTCGGATTCGAAACCTCCATTCACAAAAAAAAAAAAAAAAAACAAGGAAAAAAAAGGAAAAAATTTATTGAAGAGTGTAAGTGGAAACTTTCGAGTGATAGAGGTGTCGGATGCAAGATCTGGGGAAAAAAATTATCGAAAATAAATGAGAAACTTCAGTTTGGAAACCTCCTAGTTATATAAAAAAATACAAGCAAAAAGAAAAAAGAAAATTTTATTAGAAAGTGTGCGTGAGAGATTCATGTTCGAGACCTTTCACTCACATAAAAAAAAAAGATAAAATAAATAAATAATAGAGCACAAAACTTTTATTATTAAAAATATATGTTTTAAAATATTTTAAGTACGTTTTCAATTGCATTTTTTTTATCTGATGTATATATTTATTTAATGAAACCAACAAGATATATGTATAGAGCTATTACAGCACCGGGAAAACAAATTCAACCGCTTCATCTATCGGTAAAACCTTTTCTCTCTCTAGAACTTTTCCTCTCTCTCTCTCTCTCTCTCTCTCTCTCCCCCTCTCTCTCTGTCTTTTTTTTTCCTCTCTTTATTGTACTTATTAATAGTTGCTATGGTAGATAAATAATTGTAGATGTGTATGTGTTTATGTAGGTTTTGAATAGGCGAAGTTCTACAGATTTTGTGGTGGGTTTTTTTTACTGTTTAATTTGGTTTGTTCCTTTTATTTTCCAGCACGAATCGAGATCTATTTTTGTTTTTTTTTTTGTTCATCAAAACCTAAAATTGTTTCTGTGTTCCGATTGGTACTGTTATACTAGCTGATTTGAATTGTGAATAATCTTTATTTATTTACTTATTTATTTATTTACTCTTAATTTTGTTTGTTTTTGTGCTTATTCACTGAAGTTGTGCTACTGATCAGCGAACTGTGAATTCTCGGTCACCGGTAAATAATCCATACCAGCCCTTCTTCTTTTTTTTTTAACATTTTTTGCGTTATCATTATTTTTGTTATTTTAACTTTTTGCGCTTTTTTTTTACGACAAGGTTTTTGTCAGTTTCTTTATGTTAATTAGGAGCATCATTCTTCAGAGTATTGGGTGAATTAGGTTTTTTCTTTTGTTTTTAATTATGATAACATATGCCTTGGTAGAACTAAAAATTTAATTTTTGTCTCCCTGTGATAAGAGTTTAATTAATTTGATCCATGGTTTTTTCGCATGATAAATTTGTATTTTAGTGCAAATGTATGATTTTGATACCTTTTAACTGAAGATTTGAGAAAGTGGTCAATTTTATACAGTTGTAATGGATTGGAGGGACAAAAAAAGCGCATGTCGTCTTGTACTTTAGTGTTGCCTCTTAATTAAGTGGGGGTTTTTTGGTTGAAAGTGGTCAAATTTATATACTATAGTGGATTGGAGGGATAAAAAGCGGGTGTCTTCTTGTAATTTAATGTCACCTGTTAATCTAGTACTAGGGGATTGTTGGCTGGGAGTGGTCAAATTTTTATAGTTGTAGATATAAAGTGGATGTCGTCTTGTAACTTAACAGTGCCTGTTAATTTGATACCAGGGTATTTTCGGTTGGAAAACTAAATAGGTGGTGAAGTTTTATTTGCTTATATTTTACGTTATCCTGTTTTAGGAGTAGGACATTCACTCTTAATTGAATGTTAAGCTGCAAGTTTTTCTTTCGAGCGTTTCTATTTGTAGTGTATTTGAACATTCCCCATTTCCCCATCTGAATTTAGTGGCATGTGTACTTTGGTTGTTATACTAGTTGTTATTATTTGATCAAACAGAAGACTTTCCCATGGAGTACAAATGGGAGGAGAATGATGTTGGTGGAGATGTACCTGAATTTGGTGCAATCTTCATATCAAATATTGCAGCGAAGAGGGAGTGCTTTAAACGGAAAGTTTTTGGTCTTCCATCTTCCATGGCTAGTTTTGTTAAGCAGGTTAAAGTAGGAATGGTTTTATTCTTGTTTGAATTTGAGAAACGACAGCTTTTCGGTGTTTACCGGGCCACTTCTGATGGTGGAATGAATATTGCGCCCCATGCAATTAATTCTTCTGGGAAGCGATTCTCAGCACAGGTCTGTTGAATAAAGTGCTGCTTGGTTTCTTTGTTGTGAAAAGTTGCATGATCTTGCGAGTGTATGTTATTACTGACATACAAACTGGTGTGTGTGCTTTATCCAGGTCCGTTTTACACCAATATGGATTTGTAGGCCACTTTTTGAAAATGAATTCCGAGAGGCTATTAAAGAGAACTATTTTTCGACGAAGAAATTCCATTTTGGTCTATCCAAAGAACAGGTCAGTCAGAAAACTCTGATCAGATTTGTATGCATGATTACTGTCTTAAATGTTGGTTTTTATGCCTTAAATTTCATGTGTAGGTTCGCCGCCTTCTGCATCTGTTTAGTACAAGAAAGCTAAATGATATGCTAGCCCCAAGACAAATGACCAGAGTAGTGACTGGGTCTGCTAGTAAAGATGGAAGACTGGGGGTTGATCGTGGCTTGTTTGCCAGAAGAGAGAGTTTGGAAATGGAACATTTTGAGGATGACTTCACTTCAGCAGATATGAATGAATTGGTGGAGTATACTCCAGATAGAGTTTTTGAAGTGGATGAGAACATGCATTTTGTAGATGATAGGCTAGAGAATGGAAAGACAGTGGTTACTTTTGGACTCAATTCCTGGACTGATCAAGCTGGTGATTTTCTTCATATAAGGAAAAGAGCACATGACAATGAAGCAGAAAGTGAATTATATGACACCCACACCTCTTTGCTCCCTTATGAGACTGACAACCAGGAAGCTTTCTTGGATAAAGAAAGAATACAAGCTGCTTGCAGCAGATCTCTAATGGCTGAGAATACTGTAAATGACTGTAATATCTATTCTAGTCTTTCTCCTGCTGTTGCCACCAGCTATACTGAGGACGCCTCTGATTTAACAAGGCAAGCAGTTTATGAAAGGTCTTTGTTTGAAGGTGCAAACGTCCATGGAAATGATGACATGTTCCGAATGAATGATAATATTGAAAAAAACCTAAATTTGCATGGTTCTTTTAGACCTATGATGTCTAATGAGAATGAGCAAGACCTCGAGAGACATGGAAGAGCAGTAGGTGATCATAGGTTTTTCATGCATAGTAGTGGATCAGATCAGAAGCATCCCGTGAATGATGAATTTAACCCTGTCCATCCATCAGAAAATTTCGATAATTCTTTACACAGGATGAAAGGGCCATCTAGTGATAGGAAGCTTTTGATGGGTGAAAGACTAGCTAGCGAACGTGATTTGGATAATGGACTTCGGTTAGACTTTTTGTCTGAGAAACTTCGAGATCCATTTGACAGTGATCAAAGAAGATTAGCAAATTATAGGGATGGAGTTCATGGCTCAACGAACTCACATGTTCCATCAGGGTTTGGCAGAAGCAAAGGACACGTAGCCAGCAATGCCCTGTTGAGTGAAAAGAGAGTGGACAACAGGCATGACATTGAAATGTTCTTGCAGCCTGTCTCATCCAAGTACACTGCTTTTCCTCACCCAAAGCAGGACTTGTTGGAGTGCTTTAGCAAGCCCTCTCCAGATACTCAATTCTCTCAGCTGGAAGGACGACATTATTTCAGGAACTTGAATTCAACATTTCATGATTCAGTGGTTACCAGAACTGTTGCTAGTGCCCCTGAACCACCTACTTTCCACCATGGACACACTCTGTCCAATGTAGTTGATCGGGGTGCTAGTATAGCGCTAGATAATCCTCATTATGGTTCTGGAGGGGATTCACTTGCTTTGTCAAACAGTAAAATGTATGATAGAGAAGGTTTTGGTAGATACGATCATACTTCTGATTTTGGTGATGAAAATCCCTATTCTACCAATCGTGCTTACCACTTCCATCCTGGTCAAAGTTCTCAGAGCATGGAATTAATATCTTCGGCCCCTGCTGATGTAAGGGGTTTAGTATCTACCGTCGCTTCTCTTCCTTTAACTGAGTCTTTTGACTTGTATTCCTATAAGAAGTCTCCTTTTGCATCTGACACTCATTCTATGATGTCGCAAGGAAAGTAAAAGCATATTTACTTGCAAGAAAATAATGAAAGAATTGCTGGGAATATAGTTCTGTCTTCTAAACTAAATTTGGCTGGTTTAGATGCATATCACCAAGAAAGATATTTGGATAATGACACAGTTGACTGGTTCAAAAGCTGCAATACAGACATAGCAATTGATGATGGTCAACATTGCTTAAATCCTGGAGCTGGATATTCTGATTTTGGCAAGCAGAGGAGAAGTGTCTTTACTCGGTTAAGATTGACCCCAAGGATATCTGCGCAAGAAGAAAAAGAGAAGGTTGCTGACTTTTCTAGGGATAAATCGGTAGATGAACTGATGGACATGTTGAATGATACTCAGAATTTTTGGAATAAAAACCTTAGGAAATTTAAACCAGTAGTTAAACAGCCTGACAGGAATGAGCTGCCAAGGACCAAAAAGCGGACATCTCCTGAACTAGTGCAGCCAAGATTTGCAACAACAATAGTGGATGAGAAACTGGGTGTTGATGTTAGAGAGGGTACTGATGAGTTACCAAAAGAGACAAGGGCAGTAGAGTTTAAGCGTCGGAGTGAATTGAAGAAAGATTTGGATGAAAACAGCACAAAAAGTAATCACAGTACTCAGGACGGTACATCCAGAGACATTCATGAGAATAAATTCACAGAAAATGCAGAGCCTGAGGGCGAACTGAATAAGCCAGCAAAGCGTAGAAAGCTTGTGCGGCCAGTCTTTTAATAACGTCTCTGCTGATGGAGTTACAGGAAATTATAACTTACTTCCTTGGTCTGAGTCATTTACAAATGAAACAGTGATTTGGGTGAAATCAGCTAAACCATGTGATGCTATCATGACATCTTATGCTGGATGAGTTCATACTAGTTCGGTACATCTGAATGGTCACTACTATAGAAGCTACACTGACGTCAGCAGCATTTCTAAAGACCTATGAATGTACCAAACTTTCTTTTTCTGACACGAACCAACTGGAAGAACCTTTCTGCATACATTTGCACTACAAGTTGTCGTTGATGGGAGAGGTATATTCCTTGGTTAGGATGATTTTTGCTGTGCTACCTTCTATCTATGATCCATCTTGTAAAGGGGCTGCTTAAAAAAAATGCACTAGACATGGGATGTTGGTTTATTTCTGCACTGTGTTTTGGTACCTTCAGCTGAATTGAGATTAAGAGGACGTGAGTTGTTACACAGGATCAGGCAACCATGACACTGACCAGGCTTGTAAAGAATGTTGCAGTGGCTGGTGTGCTTGATGATAAACACCACCAAAAACAATTGGAGAACAAGTAGAGGTTTGGAACTTATTTTGAATTGCATCTCAAATACTAGCTGGTCCTTTTTCTGCTGGATCTTTTGCCAAGGGCTGGAGGTATGCTTTAAAGTGTATATGGCGTTTACAAGATTAATGAAAAGCAGGCAGTCCACAGAGAGCTAGTGAAGCTCATAAATTAGCTGATGTGGTGAAATTCTGATATTAGTGAAGAAACTACGTAAATGGAGTTGCGGATACTTGCTTCCTTTTCTACTTTTGGTTCTTTGCTTGCAAATTGCCGTGAAACTGATGATGTTCTCATGTCATTGCTACAATCCTTGCTTTGCTTTTAGGATTTTGTATTATAGTTTCTACGTTGGTAGAGAGAGTTGAAAACTGCTGGTTGGAGCAAGTCTAGGCTGTCAAATGTCGCTTTCTCAATTGGGACCGATATGAGCATGATGAGATCAAAGATTGTAGCTTAAGGTTGGCCTTGTATAATTGTGTCAAGCTTGACAAGGTTCTGTTTAAACTGACTTTGGCCGGTTGATCTTTTTTGTGTCAAGGCAAGTTGAGATGTAAATTTTATGACCTGTTGTCAATTTTACTCTTATTTAAGCCCTTTCCATCATGAGTTCGAACGCTGAATGTGTTTCAGCTTTCATGTATTGATTTTAGTTAATAGCTTTGCAGGACGTACTTGCCTGGTTGGTGATTCTGTGCTAAAATACAGCGTTGGATTGCTTTTAACCGGCCTATGGATATAAGGTGTAAAAATCACTTATGCAAACTTGGTTTAATGAAGTTTGTATAGCTTAGAAGGAAGTAATTGGTAGAAGTTATGCCATTACGATTTTTACTACTGGTAAAAACTAACGAGCGCAAAAAGTTGAAGTGGGAAGTATAACTGCTCCAAATCTTTGCAAGAAATTACAGGCGCAGAAGCAAGAGCCAAAACGTTGTAGTGGGCAATTATGATTAATCGCTATAATCAGTGAAAGCTGAAATGCAGTTGAAGGGATAAATAGGCATATGATGGGCTATTTACCTTTATCTCTTTTCTACATGGCTACTTGATATAACGAGTTTTCCACACTTGCTCTCTCAATGTATACACGCTCTTTGACTAGCTATTGATTTTCTCAATTTCCTTTTGTCTTTATTCTTTTTTTCCTATCAATTTTGGATAATATTTCCACCAATATCTTTAATTTAAAATTTATTATTATCCTTATCACGTGTTGTCACGTTCAATTCTCGATATGTTTCTTCTAACAAATTTTTATCTCACTGTTGATGGCTCATTTTTAATCGGTAGAGCTGTTAAGCCAATCAAGTAGCTCGAAAGCTCGTTAGAGCTCGGCTCGTTAAGGCTCGAGCTCGGCTCGTTAATTTTGGTTAACGAGTCGAGCTCGAGCTCGAAACATGCTCGTTTAGTTAACGAGCCGAGTAAGCTCGGCTCGTTTGATACTCGAGTAGCTCGTTAGAGCTCGTTAATGAAGGGTATATTTGTTATTTTATAAATCAAAATTATATAAATTAAAAATTATAGATTATTATTAATGTTAATTTGCACGAGCTCGAGCTCGAGCTCGTGAAGCTCGACTCGTTTGTGATAAACGAGTTGAGCTCGAGCTCGAGCTCGAGCTCGTGAAGCTCGACTCGTTTGTGATAAACGAGTCGAGCTCGAGCTCGAGCTCGAGCCACATGTACATTTAACGAGTCGAGTTCGAACACATTTTAAAGCTCGTTTTCTTAACGAGCTCGAGTCAAGCTCGGCTCGAATTAAACTCGAGTCGAGCTCGGCAGCCAAATACTCGGCTCGACTCGGCTCGATTAACAGCTCTATTAATCGGTCATATTAGAATCAATTTCAAATTAATTTTGAAAAGAATATTATCTTTATCATTTAACTTGTATATATTACAGGCTTAATTATTTTTTCTTTGCAGTTGCAAGTATGTCTATCATCAAAGTTTCATTTGGAGAAGTGATGCGTTAAGTGATATGGGAAAAGGATAAGTGAGAAGTTTCGGGTTTGAAACCTTCCATATACCCAAAAAAAAGGTTTTATTTGCAGTTCACTATATAACTTTTACTTTAAAGCAATTGAAAGCAAATCCGAAACCGTCTTATTCAAGTATTGTAGTTTTAAGTAATTACATTTGGAAGTAAAAAGAATTTTTCATTCCATTGGAGACGTATTAAAGTTAGAAGTTTGTAGTAATTACATGGTATAGAGAAATTATATAAAGTTTTTTACACATAGAAAATTATGCTTTGATATGCTTGAAAATCATTTTGCTTACATAAATAATCTATACATGTTTTTAGAAGACGTTTTTCAAAATTTTCATGGTGATGCTATTGCTTTTTTTTTTTTTTTGCCTTTTTGTTTGTATTTAGTTAATTTATTTTTGCCTTTTAGTTATCACAAAGCTAGTGTGAAGAAGCAAAAATAGTTATAAATAAATATTGTTTATATCTACATCCTGCATCAAGGGAATTGATCACGAAATTCTTAGCAAACGAATCCGAAATTATATTTATGAAATGAAAAATATAAAAATGACATGTTTTATTTTATAACATTGCTTCCAACCAAAGATAATGACATGTGTGTTGAATCTAGCTTAGTTACACATGATAAGTAATAAACGGCTGAAAATTAAACAAATGTGGCATTGCACTCTTTATTTAGCTTATTATATCTCTTTCTTTTTTTTTTTTTTTTGTTTCCCTTTGTTTCTATTGATGATTCATTTGCCAGGAGTTAGAGGCAGAAGATTAAATTGTACATTAGATGAATGTGAATGGCTTACAAGTTTAGAAGCCTTAAAAATTCCTTTAAATTCTCGAAGCAAAAGAGCATTAGATTCTATTGTTCCTTTCTACAATTGCCCAAGAAAGGGAGGAGGAAAGCATAATATTATACTAAAGTGATGTTACATGTGTAGAAAGCTTAGTCAACGTTATTCTTCTTATTCCATTGCATTAACCCCTATTTATCTAGTCAACGGTACAAATCGGCCCCTAAAATTGCTCAAAAACGAATGTGATTCTGGTGCATAATCTTTTGCCTTTTAATGCCAAAAATACCATAGAACAGAGAGAACGGTGTTGAAATTAGAAGATGGCTCATGATACTCGTAGTGATAAAAGTGAACTTTTCTTTTTCAGGATCATTGATGTGTTAACATTTCAGGAATCAGATATAGGCGAACAAAAAAGTGATAGAGAAGATGATGCTAAACAGATGGTGCTTAATTTCCCAAAAATTTTCTTAATCACATGCATTTCTTGTGTAGCATTAATAACTAATGAAGAATTGCAAGTGTATGAACCTTTTAGGTACACTGCACTGGTGGTAGAATTGTTTTTTATTCCAAACCTATGATCCAATTCATACATTGAATTGTATGATATTCACGTTAACAAGTTTAGCTGATTTCGTTCCGATCATCACTATAGGTTAAGGCATACTTTCGATACTATAGATTGCTTAAATGAATATTTACAGATTATCCATCAATATATTTCTCTCGATCGACACATTATGTGATTGTGATAATTTGAGAGAATGGAAAAGTGAAGGAGTCTCTAAAACTAAAGAATGAAGAATCAAGCTATGAAGTGCTGAACTAAACATAAGATTTGAGGGTATAACTTCAATGCGCTACAAATGCATTTTATATTTACTCCAACTTGAATTTGACAAATAGATTGGGACTTCAATAGTTTCGTTCATAACAAATAAATTGGATTGAAACTTATATTTATCAATATTTTCAAAATGGCCGCTTCGATCGGTTGAACCGCGAACTGGCCATGATACCGATTCGGTTCTATACCAAAGTTGACTTTGTAAGAAAATTGGTCAAAACTGGTGAACCGGGATCGAACCAGTGGTTTTCGGTTTTTCAATTTTTCCATCAATATTTTTTTTTAAGTTTTGCAAAATGCAACCCACCAAAATTTGAACTTAGGACCTTTGTGATAGAAGACAAATGTAGTAACCATTGTACCATCATATCCTATTAGCCATTTTGATAATTCATTTATATAAAACAAACATCCACATTCATTTTTTTCATTTTTCCTACAAAATCTCATTCTCTCATGATTCTTTCTTTTTAATCTTCAACTCTCTCTCACACACTCTCTCTTCTTTTCTTTTGTCACTCCCTTTTTAATCAAACATCTTTAGTTTTAATTTATTGATGTTTTCTTTCATCTTTTAATTTTGTTTTTGTCCATTAAATTGAAAAAATTTAAAAAAGAATTATTTTTCTTTAACTCTAAAGACTAACTATTAAATGCCACAACCACTTACTTTTATCTCATTTTTTATTTTTTATCAAGTTTACATTTCTGTTTTCGATTCTCCTGACTTCCTTCAAACTCCAAACTTCTTTTTTTTTTTAATTGCAATCTCTAAATCCCAAAAAACGTAAATTAAAATTTAAAATCACAATATCTAAATTCCTATAGACGTGAATTTTGTATAATTTCAAAATATTGTGATATTTTTGGGTTGGATTTAAGATCATTTTTTGGTAGATATAATTGAGATTGAAATGAAATTTATTTGTTTCAACTTATACTTTAAAATTCATCATATAAAATTTTAAATTAGTTAATTGCATGTCTTATTTTGTACATATATAGATATTTATATAAATTATTTTTTAAAAATTCATTGAACCAGAGTTGAGTCAGTCCGATCGATTGAATTTTGACTCAAATACTTCATCGGTTCAATTAACGGTCCGAATTTGAAAACATTGATATTTATTTGCTAGCAATAATGCCAGCTTGTGCATCACGTATGGCTTTCTGTTTTTCAGTCGATATTTCTAAGCACTGTACGTAGAACTAATAGTACAAGTAGCAAAAATTATGCGATTTTCATGAAGACGGGAGAAGGGATCAACCTTTGGACGATCGCTTTGGGATACAAAATTCCATTCACAAGTGGACAAAATTCCCGTCGGTTATGCTTGGTCCTTGCAAGATTGGCTGCCAAGTGGAGTTAGCCATTTTGATTGCCTTCGAGAGTTGAGTTGAAAAGCAGACGCAAGTCAAAGCAAATCTTGGCAACTTTTAGGCCAATTGTTGATTGACAGAAGTGCATCCGAAGAGCCAATCAAGCAGCACTTGGCAAAGTTTGCTGGGCTTAGCCATTTTCATTGCTTTCTTCTTGTTTCATATTTGTTGAACTCCCCCGCCAAATAAACAACTTTCAATATCCAACCGTGTCACCTGAACAATGTAATATTTTTTAAACGTCTCGTAACTGTATATAAATTTCTTATGTATTTTTATAACAAAGATGTGATATTTTATTACTGTTCATATTGATCCCATGTATAATAATTGCTCTCTGTTATTAATAAATTTTACAAATAATTCACGTAGAATTCTATCTTATTCAAAAAATGTTATACCGTTTGTTCGTTTTATGGACAATTATTTGTGCCTTTGGTCCAAGAAAAGGCAGGCGCTAGTCAGAGCCGAACTTGGCAACAATTGGGCCAATTGTCGAGTGACAGAAGCGCATCCGTAGAGCCAATCAAGCAGCATTTGGCATGGTCTGCCTAGTGCTGTGGACAACTTGATTTTTGTGAGTGGACGTGGGGGTTGGGATGTGTTTCAATTGTCGATGGAATGGAATATTGACATTTTAAAGGGACGAAATAAAAAGGCAGTGAAGGGAGAGGTGGCGCGCACACAGAGGCAATCCCATCAAGGAAGATACATAGGAGTGCCACGAAATTCTTCAGGGATAGCGTTATTCTCCTACATTTTGATGGTGAGGTCAAAGTTTCCTGTACCAAAAGGAGCATGCCACAAATTAACCTGATTTTCTAGACAGAGAGTTTGATTTACAGCTATCCAGCAAAACCATGTGCAGCACTTTAGTGATTTATGCAAAGTTCAAATGACTTGCATTCGGGACAGATTTGGAGTGGGATTCAAGGAAGAAAAAAAAAAATTCACTAAGATGATAACGAATGAACATATAGTCCCTTCGAGTTGGTTCGGATGGTTTCGAGATAGTTTAGTTAGGTCCTGAAGTCGCGTGTTTGAGTCCCCTCTCTGCCGCTTATGTATCCTTGAGGGATTGGGTACACAAGCACAGGAAGATTAGTCCAGTAAAAAACTGGGATACTTCCTGTATTGACAAGAAAATAAGAAAAGATAACGAGTAAATATCTTTAACATTTGAACTTCTGCTTTTCTTGTTGTAGCTAATGGCAAAAAAATTGCTGTGTTCTTATTCAAGTATAACTAGCATTCAAACTCAGAGTGCAGAAAATTATTGGATCTTGAGTGATACCATTCTTAACTTTGGTGTTTCTGATCAATCATAGTTAAATTGCTCCCGGGAAAATGACAAGCCAGAGCGTTGCATCATTTTGCAGAAAAGATGAAAAGTACCCTTTCGGCGATACAAGGGGCCAAATGGGATTTATACCCGTGTCGAATTTGCACTACCAAACAAACAGATTGAATATCAACTAAAGATCGATACGCAAGCATGCAAATTTACTTTCCGTTTTCTTGACATGGAATTCTTGCTCTTGCATACACATCATCATCTTTAGGGCCGGGAGACGCTCCAAATTGACTTGGTATGTCCCTTGGTCAGGCTAGGAAGTGGGTGGAATAAGTTCCTTGACAAGCACCTTGCATATGAGTTTGGTGCATGGATCTTGACGGAGGTGCATTTTCAAATGGCTATAGAATCAAGGGATAATTTCCGAAGCCTCTCCTCAGGTTTCTGACAATTTCATTGAGCTCCCCTGAAATTTGAAAAATTACACGTACCTCCTTTGTCCATTTAAAATGGTAATACCAATCTTAATATTTTTAATAAAACTCTCTTGTCGCCATGATTATGCAAAGGATGGATTTTATAATTTTTTTTTACCATTTTCCTTCTTATTCATTTCTCTTATAGTATTTCATTAGGAGTATAGAAGAACTATCAATGTTGTCCCTAATATCTATCCAAATTAAACGTTAAACTAATAATTTGTTTTTTGTAACTTTTAATATCCTCCAATTTTTTTTGTAGCTCTTTTTTTTTTTTTTGGGTATCAAAATCAAGGATAAGTCAACAATAATTAAAAACAAATGGCCCAAAATCATTACCAAATTATGATAGTTCTACCACTAAACTAGTCCCTAAATTTTTATTATAAACTTTAAAAGAAACAAAATAGCACTGTCTTCTCTATCTTAAAAAGAATTTATATTTCCAATAAAGTACTATGAAAAATACCCTATTATAGTAAAAGATTTATTGTTATAGTTAATTATTAAATAACAAATATTAGTATGAAAAACTTGATACTCTTTTTGTTTAGATGAATAAATTGAATTTTGTAAGATAAGGGCATTTTAGGATATTCATTAAATTTTACTCTATTTTAAAGTTTGGTTACCAAAGTGTCAAATCAAGGGAGGTAAGTATAATTTTTAAAACATCAAGGGAATTAAGTGAAATAGTAAGAAACCTCAAGGGAGGTTTCTAAAATTATGCCTAGAATCTAATCAATATGTAGCTAGAAGACTCCGCGGCTATATATATGTAGGTGTCCGGATAGCTCAATGTAGGCATGTAAAGACCTAAGTTTAAATTGTAGAATTCATTTTTTTTAGAAGAAAGAGGTCTTACATGAAGATAAAGAGTCTTGTTTGGTAGCCAAGGATGACTTGCCTGCAGGCTCACCAAAGGGTTTCTAGTCCTTCTTTTGTTTTTTTTTTCCCCTGACAAAAGGGTTTTTAGTCCTTTGTTTAATCATCCAGGTAGAGTTGGGTTGAGAAGGATGGTAAGGTGAAAAAAATTGTAAGTAAGATATATTATATTTAAAATCTTTTGTTTACAAAAAAAAAAAAAAAAGAGGGTCAAAAAAAGTCCTTTGCTTTATTATTAAACTTATTTTTCAGTGTCAAGATAGAGTTGCCTCCCCTCTCTATTCATCTTTTAAAAAATATTTATGGAATTTTTAAAAAGATATGATAAGTAGTTAAAAAGAGATGGAATTTTTTCAACGTCATAGTATCCTATAGGTCAAGTAGTTAATCTCTCTCCTTTTCAATCCTAAATGAGGTGATAGAAATACAAATGTGGCTACAAATTACTTATTATTTTTGACCATCTTTTTGAGGAATTATTCCATGCATCCGTCACATCATGAAAAAAGTAGTAGGATATCACAAGTTATGTTTAGATTATTAGTAATCTTTTCAAAGATTGTGCATAGAATATAGGGGTTCTAAGTCTAACAATTATTAGCTTGGTGTAAGTGTGGGACTTTTTTTTTTTTTTGGGTGTTTTTGTTAGGCAGTCCCCTTGGCTATCCAGAGGGTCTCTTTTCTCTCATGTTGGATCTGCTCTTCTTCTTGATGCAAGATTTGTTATTGAAACATGTTATTACATTATCAGAAGCATAATGGGCTAATTTGAAATTGCATTATTGTTCCATCACTAGATCATAAGTATATATTTTGAGCTTGTTACTATATTATCTGTGGTTTATAATTAAGTTGCAAGGTTGTTGAATTGTAATATGAATACTTTCATTCCACCACTCTTAAGTTACTTGTAATCATAAAAGAAATCAAGGGGAGAAAAGGGTTTGGGCACTATTATATGCCATCATATGTGGTGTTTTCCCACATGCAATTTACCTACAAGGTGTCTTTTCTTGGCCTTCTAAAACCATATGAATATGATTGTCTCTCAAGGAATATTTTCTAATAAAAGTGGATGTCTATTTCTTGGAGCCTGAACATTTTTCCAAGTTTTTACTCAAACGTATTTTTTAATCACGTGTTTTCGTAGAGAGATTTTCTTATGCATATTTTTTAATTACTTTTTTATCTCACATACATCGCATTACTATAGTATAAAATTTTATGCAAACTTCAAAAACTTGCAATCCTAACAGGCTTGTAGTGCCTCAATTCTCTCAAACATGCTATCAACTGCGGAGAAGATATTGTCAATGCGGTGGGAGTGGCACGATTTGTAGTCTTCGTATGGGCAATGAACATCGTATGATTGAGCCAACTTCAAAATCCCTTGGTTCAATAGTTGTCACCTGGCTAGTTTCAAGAATTGCTGCTGCTGCTGCTGCTGCTTCAAGGGGCCTTAGATGCTACCATGTTGCCGAGCCATTCAATCAATCTGCAAAAAGAAACCTCATACGCGGTACTTTTCAGTTTGAACAGGAGCGCCCTGCCCTTGTTCATTTCATACAGGCTATCTCATGATATGATCAAGCAGTGCCAGGAGGAGATGCTGCGAAAGTAGAGTGACCGGCTGATGAAGGAATGACAGATTTAGATTATTTGCACTAACAAATGCTAGTTAGTAGATAACAGGTCTTGTAGATAATAATGTGTTTTAAGGCGATCAGTTTATTTGCATTTCTATTTGTAAATTCTGAAAAAGTCGAACCATTTAATACATGTTGATTTATAAAAATAGATCTACGTAAAAATTTTATTTTATAGGTATAACTAGAACGATTCGATAGCTCGACTCAGAATCATTCGAGATTTTACATAAGTCAAGTTTAAACAAATAATTTGTCTCGACAAGCTATAGAGCGATCTCAAACCTTGTTTGCAAACTTAAACGAACGTTTGTGAACATGGGTGTAATTGTTATTTTACAAGTTTAGGATTAGATAATTAGTGTTTCAACCTATTAGATACATCATCTAACATATGATCAAAATTTAGGCCTTGTTTGGATTGTTGTTTTTCGTCAAAAAAATACGTTATTTTCCGTAATTACATTTTCCTATTACCTTTTTCCCTCACATACATCAAATCGCTACAGTAATTTTTCCATAAAAAATCATGGAAAATGTAATCCAAACACAACCTTAGCCTTCTTTTTGCCCTTGTCACTTTGCCGCTCGCAGCCACCCACACACCGACCACCATCACCAACGCCTTCTCAATCACCATCTTTATTGGCCGTCACCACTACAAAACTTCTCCTTCTACCATTACCCATTTTGTCTAGAAGCGTTACCAGTATAAAGTTGGGTTCAGTTATCCTTCGTCGTCCATGTGCTTGACGGGCTATTCCATGAGACGAAATTTATCTAGTGCGTATTTTTAGATAGTGGCTGCGGATTTTCTTATCAATAAAAAAAATTGGGTTTTTTTTTTATTTTTTATTTATTTTTTGGTTAAGAAGATTGTACCAATTTATCTTTTGTAGTACGGGTAATAAAGAAAGTTCAAAATTTAAGAAATATACACAGAGGAAAATTTCTTTCTTTCGTTGTATATTTTACTAGAGTTTTTTTTTTTTTTTCGTTTTAATGCTGAGATTAGAGTTGGTGTTCGTAGAGGTAGTCATGGAGTTAGACTGTCAGAGTATTCCCACTATGTGTATACTTTTTCTACTATGATAAAAGGAAACATTACTATTTTTCTACAAAATTGGAAAAAATTGAGAAAATTTGAAAAGTAACACACTATTTTGCCTTTGTTTTCTACCCTGTGTAAAATGGGACACAATTTTTTTTTGTTATTTATGATGTCATTTTTTAAAATTTTTTGAATTCCTCATTTTTTCAAAAACAAGTTTTTTATATATAATGTTACAGTAATACATAAATAAAAACAATCTAAAAACACCACGTCCATACAATATATCAAAAATAATTCCAAATATACAAAAAAATATATATCACCACCACCACCATCACCAACCACCAAAAGCACACCACTACCCGCCGCCCCTTCCCCCTCTTTCTTTCTTCCTCATCTTCCCTCATCTCCTTCCCTTTTTCCTCTCTTTCTTCCTCCACCCTTCTCTTCCCTTTTCCTCCCCTCCCCTCCTCCTTCCTCTCCATGTGTCTCTCGCTATCCCCCCCCCTCTCCCATCGCGACCAAATTTGGTCGCGGGCGGCGTCCATCTTCTGGTTGCGACTCACGATTAGAGAGGATTAAAGGGAGGATGGTGGAAGAGGGTGGCGAGGAGGGAGGAGAGAAGGGATGGTGGGTAATGATGGATGGTTGTAAGATTTTATAAAATTTTTAATTTTAAAAATATCTCATAATATATTTTCTAACACACCTCAAAACCCCCATTAAAAACATCTATAATAAAAATTTTTCAATTATATTATTCCAGTAAAATATTTCAAAAACACCTTAAAAAACAGTTAATCCAAACGAAACCTTAATTTCTATCGTCATGAAATACTTCTCATAACAATATAATGTAACAAAATTAAACCGTAAATTCATAGTAACTTCTATATTGACTTTCATACTGTTTTAATTATTAATTCTTTGTCTCCTTTGCAATTTGAATTATTTTTATTTTTTGACAATATTTAGAAAAAAATTAAGCCATCATAGTAACTTCTATATTGACTTTCATACTTTTTTTTTAATTATTAGCTCTTTCTCTCTTTTGCAATTTGAATTATTTTTTATTTTTTGACAATATTCAAGACAAATTAAACACATATAATTTTCAGTGCTCAGTTGCTTTTTTAGCAGTTTTTTGAACCGTTACTTATAACTGAAATTCAACATTGCATTTCATCACCACTGCCGCCACCAGCAGAGTCACATGCTCCGCCAACGGCGGCGCCACCGCTACGGTGCCCACATTTGTGCCTTATTAGCTGCCGTCCTTCTCCTCCTCTCCGTCACTCTCCTCTACAGTCGGATCAACTTCTTCCAGTCCCACTCCACTGGTCCACACCAGCACTCCTATTCCCAGTACGACGGCGTCTCGCTAACCGACAACCCCCTCGTCGAAGATTCCACCGACTCTCTTGATCATGCCTCGAATTCTGACGACCTCATCGACGAGCAGGATGACGCCGTTTTGAACACCAAATATAGCAACAGTAATGGTGATGATTTCCTCTTAGGTGGAGAATCGGAAGAAGATGTGGAGGACGAGGACGACGACGTCGTTTCAGGTCAAAATGATAAGTCTAAGTCTTCTTCTTCTTCTTCTTCATCTTCGCTTTACTATTTTGATCATCAGAACGGCGTCGTTAGGAGAGGATTTAATAAGAAATCAATTGAGGAATGGGAAGATTATGTTAGTTTTGAATCTAAGCTGGGGTTAGAATTAGGGTTTAGTAATCGGGGATCTAAGACTGCATTTGGATCGGATGATATTCCTGTTGATGAAAAAACGAGGAAAAAGTTAACTGAGGTTAAGGGAATTGAGGATGCATTATTGTTGAAGGGCTCAAAGTTGAGGGAAGGGTGGGGTGAATGGTTTGATAAAAAGAGTGATTTCTTGAGGAGGGATCGGATGTTTAAGTCAAATTTGGAGGCCGTAAATCCGATGAATAATCCGATTTTGCAGGACCCGGATATGCCAGGGGTAACAGTGTTAACTAGAGGGGATAAGCTTGTACAGAAGGGTATGTTGAATGAGTTCAAAAAAGTGCCATTTTTGGTTAAGAAGCCATTGGCATTTGAGAACAAGCAGACCGTTGAGAAAGACGAGAATGTTGAGGTACAGAAAGATGAAATGAAGAAAATCAAGATGAACAAGCGAAAAACTTTGGATAATGCTAATAGTCAGAGTAGTTATACACGGAAGAACGAGATTAAGAATAATGGTAGCGGTAATCATGGTTACATTGTGAAAAAAGTTGATAATAGGAAGGATTTGAATGGGAACGGTGAGGAGAGGGAGGGAAAGAATGTGAAAAATGAGTTTTCAGGGCTGGTGTTTGCGGATGGAAGAAGATGGGGGTACTATCCGGGGTTGGATTCTAGATTGTCGTTTAATAATTTTATGGATGCCTTTTTTAGGAAAGGGAAGTGTAATTTGAGAGTTTTTATGGTATGGAATTCTCCCCCTTGGATGTTTAGTGTACGTTACCAGAGGGGGCTTGAGAGCGTTTTGTATCATCATCCAGATGCATGCGTGGTAGTGTTTTCTGAGACGCTTGAGTTGAATTTCTTCAATAGCTTTGTGGAGGATGGGTAAGTCTTTTTTGTTTTCTCTTTTTCCTTTAGTGGGATGAGGATGTTGCTTTTGTTCTCTAATTGGAAGAATCAGTTCATTTGCTTGGTTTTTGACAGGCCTCTTTCTTTTGCAGCTCTGGTTAACCATGTTTTGTCCTTTTTTTTTTATGTTCTTTGTAGTTTTTAGAGAACACACTTGATTATATGACTCTATAAAGCATATTTTGTTGCGTCATGATTGCTCTTGGTTTTCAAAGATTTTGTTTTGGTGCACATTTGTCATATGCCTTGTACCATTTGAGGTGAAAACAAAATTTGCTTGACAACTTTGCTATCCCCTGCTTTGCAGTTTCAAGGTGGCTGTCGTCATGCCAAATCTTGATGAGCTACTTCAAGATACACCAACACATATATTTGCCTCTGTCTGGTATGAATGGAAGAAGACAAAATATTATCCTATACATTACAGTGAACTCATCAGGCTTGCTGCTCTGTACAAGTAAGCAAAATTTAGTAGCAGAATCTTTTCAAGGCCAAAGCAGTATGAATCATTTGAAATACTTATTCTGGAACCAAATTTTTTAAAAAACAAGAATTGATTGGAGAATAACTCATGACAAGTGTTACAGGTAAGAAAGTTTGGTCTGAATTTAAGGAAATTCAGAAAGAGAAACATCCAGTGAAGTTAATCTGATACACTGACTATATTCTAAACTATGAAATTTTAATCTTTTTTGGAAAATTAACTGTGCTAAAGCATCAGTGAGCGTACAATCAAAGTGGCAGAAAGTTTGACCTCTGCAAAATGGAACAGGAAATTTATCTTTGTGATTGCTTTTACATAATACACTGACAATTTTCTATTAGTGTAAAGTTTCTCTAATTCAACCTTTGTGTATTGCAGGTATGGTGGTATTTATCTTGACTCTGATGTTATAGTGCTGAAAAAGTTATCATTACTTAATTGTACTGTTGGCCTCGAAGACGAGCAAAAGGAGAACACTTTGAGTGGTGCAGTAATGGCCTTCAGAAAGCACAGGTACATCAGTATTATTACAAAGCTTTTTACTACATTTTTAATGATATAGTTTTTTTTAAACTATATGGCATCTTTTAAGGAAATTTTTTTGTAGCAATTATAAATATAACTATGTGCATCTAGGTTTTAAAAAAAATACCATTCATAAAGTTTTCCTTCTTAGCCTGTGGATGTTCAATAGTTAGATTTTGTGCTCCTACAGTGCTTAATAAGCTGGAAGGAAACTATTAAGAACATTTGCTATCTTGATTCCATAAACTCTGTCTCAGAACTAGCTAGGACTCACTTATACAGGGTTGCACTTTCTGATCCAGGATTGAGTATTGATGTGTAGAAAGATGAAGGAAGAAAGTAATTGAAATCTTTTTGGTATATAATCAGTAGGCATGTAGTAAGTCTTAGATAAACTGCGTAGAGCTTCAAAGAAATCACTCCATGTATTTATTGTCCCACTGAAGGCAATCTGTTTATGGGCT